ACACTGTGTGTGTGTCGGGGGGGGGGGAGTGACAGTGTGTGGGGTGAGGGGAATGTAACGGACCGTTTTGCATACAAGAGGTTAAAAACAGTTTAGGTGATATTCCCCTTTCCAGATGCCCCGACAGCTACTGTAAGCACCAATCTCCCGAACTGGAGAAGCATATGAATGCAGTAAACAGCCGAACCGGAACCATACGAATGCTGCAAACAGCCGAATAGGAAAAACCATACGAATAGGTTTACACTCCTAGCAGTCAAACTGGAACAACATACAATAAATCCCCCCAAGAACGAGACAAGGCTCTGTTTCGAGGGTCAAGCAGGAACAGACAGAGCTGTGGGTTTATTGTTTTTATATACACATTAGTACCACCCACAGGGTTTTGGAAAACAACCAATAAACACATTCAATACACTCAGACACTCCCACACAAAATCCTCCCCTCTGCCTGTGATACAATTACCTTACACAATGGGTAATGTAATTATCACCGGCAGAGAAATACAGTTTTTCCACATTATTCATAACTTGAAAAGTATGCATCACATTCACATAAATTCACTTACATTTTCAGAATCATCATACTCCAAATACAAACATACGTCAAAATCATACAAGTTGGTCCAGTGGTTCAAAAGATAGATCGTAGTCCTTTGTGACCAAATGAAGCATGGCTTTTCTGCCCAAAACCAGTTCCACAGAGTCTTTTATCCTGGAGATAATTGGAAAGTAATCCAATTATCTCCAAGGACAGAGGCAAAACTCCATTAAGCACATGGCAGTAAAAAGACAGTAAAATACAATAAAACGCACACGGTTACATTTATGACATAAAATACAGACGTGCAACATATCCCCAGATAGCTTAGGTCTGAGCATACATTATTACTGAATGGCGCTCAGACCACACACATACAGTTCAATTGCCATGGAGCCAAAGTCTTTCCCATAGTCTTTCATTATACGAATGGGCTCCATGGCATAGCTATCTGGGGTATCACTGCTCAAACAGGGCAAGCACCTAATGACCCGGCTTTCATGTCTTTGCAGGGTAAAATCAAGCGTTTCAACACGGGGCCATAGTCTAAAGGCAGCAGGTGGGCAACCACGCTCCTCCAATGCATAGTGGCGAGATTGGTCTCGTCACAGGGAAGTGTGTGGGGTCATTGTGGGGGGAAGGATGACTGTGGGAGTTGGGCAGTGTGGGGGAGAGTGACAATATGTAGGGAGGATAACAATATTGGGTGAGGGTAACATTGGGGAAGGTGGGAGGGGGAAGTGAGGGAGGAGGATGACAGTGTGTGGGGCGATGTGTTGGGAGAGCAGTGTGTGGGGAAGGTGACAGTGTGAGTGGGCAGTGTGTGGGGAGGATGACAGTGTTCCTGTGGGGAAGGCAATGTGGGGAAGGTAACAGTATGTGGGGAGGTAGACAGTGTTGGTGAGTGTGTGCAGTGGCGTGGATAGAGATTTTGCCGCTTCTCTCAGCGAAACCTCATCACTAATGTGCCATTGCGCTGAGAGGAATAATGGGAGCAGGAATATGAGGTGATTCATATCTCTGCCCCCTCCACACAACCTGTGGCATGCTCAAGAGCCAGCAGGCTGGACAAAGATGCTTGTGGAGTTTGGACACGCTACATGAATTGACTGACTGTGCACTCTCCACTTGATAGTCACTTGGAAATTGTGCTGCACATACATGCAGATACACAGACAGATAGAGACACAGATACACAAAGATACACATACACACAGATAGGTACACATACAATCATATGCAGATACACAGATATGAGCACACAGATACACATACAGACACAAATGCAGATTCACTCACTGACACAGACACACACATATAGTTACACACAAATAGAAACATAGATACACAGTTCCAAACACAGATACACACACAGAGATATACAGTAACACACAAAGTGACATACAAATACACACACACAGACACAGGTTCACACATTTAAAAGGAAAAGGAACCGTACTCAACTCCATTTTAAACCTGGTGTGCTGAAGCAGGACCAGCAAATCCAAACCACGTATGATAAGACGTGTACTCACAGAACTAAAGCCATAGGCAGATTTAATGGATCAGGAAAGCAAAGCAACGTTTCAACCTATTTATTGAAGTAAGGGCAAGTTCATTGTTAGATATGGGCAAAAGTGATTATAATAGAGTCCAAATAAAAAAGGAAAATAGAAAAATAGATACTACTGCAATAAGAGATGAAGCATTATGCAGGTAAAAAAATATACAAGTGGCACAATATTAAAAAATATAATAATAGCAAGCTTAAAACAGATACAAAAATGACAGGAAAGAAAAGTGTAAACACAGTATCAGAAGACAATTTAAAGGAACAGTGACCTATTAAAAATCCCAATCAGAGACAAAAAGAGGGGGGAGAAAGGGGGAAAATAAATAAGGATTATAAAAAATGACACAATTCGAAATCCAAATTGAGCCCCTTTGGGGACAAGGAATCTAAAGTGAATATCCAGTTACTTTCTATTTTGCATAGTTTCTTGAAGTTGTCTTCCCCTCTCCAATTGGGAGATTTCTTAAAAATAGCTATAAAAGATAATAGTGAAGGATCTTTATTATGGTGTTTTAAAAAGTGATCGGAAACGCTGTGCTTGGCATATCCCCTCCGTATATTGCCCATGTGTTCTGCAATATGGGTCTTTAAACTTCTAGTTGTCATTCCTACGTATTGCAGCCCACATGGGCACCAGAGGAGATATATAACATTAGATGTGTGACATGTTAAAATATATTTAACCTCACATTTTTTTTACCAGTTATATTTGATATAAACCAAGTCCTAGTATCCTTAGTAAAATGTGTTATTTTACAGTTGGAACACACTTTGCATGGATAAAAACCATTTTTTTGATTAAAAGTAAAGTTGGTTTTAATTGGTTTAATAAAACTGGATACTAAGTCACTTTTGATGTTTCTAGCACCTCGATAAATTATGTTTGGTTTATCTCCAATCACTTTATTAAGATCTGGGTCAGTTTTTAAAACATGCCAAAATGTATTTATAATATGTTTAATATGTCTAGACCTGTTGGTGTAGTCTAGAATGATGGGGATGCCTCTTGAATTAAAATCATTCTTATTTTCCTTTTTCTTTATTGGTTTGTACTCTAAAACTTGGGCCTTATCCAGGGTACTGACTTCCAATAGCTGTTTATCTAGAAGTACAGAATCATATTTTTTGGCTAAAAACTGATCTTTTAAATAATTAGATTGGGACATAAAATCTTCCTTACTACTACAATTTTTAAAAATCCTTAAGAATTGGCCTTTTGGAATGTTTTGCAACCAGGGTGCATAGTGACAACTTTCTACATCAATAAAACTATTAATGTCCACTTTTTAAAAAAATGTACGAATTTTACTATTGTTATCTTCAACAAAAACCTCAAGATCTAAAAAATGTACACTTGATTTACTATTTTCGCATTTTAGCGTAATATTTCTGTCATTCTGATTTAAATATTTTAAGAATAAGTCAAGGGAATTTTGGTCATAGTCCCATATAAAAAATACATCATCAATGTGCCTACGGTAGTGGACCCGCACCGGGCACGCCACTGCCCAAGAGGAAGGATTCCTCCCAATGGGACATAAATAAATTAGCATAGCTTGGCACAAATCTGGTCCCCATCGCGGTACCGATGAGTAGCAAAAAGTAAGACCTGTTGAACCAAAAGTAGTTATGGCCTAAAATAAATTTAATAGCTTCCAAAATAAAATCTAATAGTCATTCTTAAAAAAAACACCCAAATAAAGAAAATGTGCAACTGCCTCACACCCTAATTGGTGAGAAATAATAGTGTAAAGGCTACTTACGCCCCAGGTTACCAGATAGTATTGATCTTTCCATTGGATATTAGATAATTCTCTAATTAATTGGGTGGAATCTTTGAGATAAGTGGGTTGAGATACCACTAAGGTTTGAAGAAGTCTATCAATACATTGAGACAGACGATTAGTAAGTGAGTCAGCCCCAGCCACAATGGGCCTGCCAGGTGGATTCTTAGGATCTTTATGTATTTTGGGAAGGATATAAAGTCCTAGTATCCTTAGTAAAATTTGTTATTTTACAGTTGGAACACATTTTAAAGACCTGTATTGCAGAACACATGGGCAATATACGAAGGGGATATGCCAAGTACAGCGTTTCGGATCATTTTTGAAAGCACCATGATAAAGATCCTTCCCTATGGCTATTTTTAAGAAATCTCCAAATTGGAGAGGGGAAGACAACTTCAAGGAACTATGCAAAATAGAAAGTAAATGGATATTCACTTTAGATTCCTTGTCCCCAAAAGGGCTCAATTTGGATTTCAAATTGTATATTTTTTTATAATCCTTATTTATTTCCCTCCTTTGCCCCCCTTTTTTGTTTCTGATTGGAATTTTTTATAGGTCACTGTTCCTTTAAATTGTCTTCTGATACTGTGTTTACACTTTTTTTCCCTGTCATTTTTGTATCTGTTTTAAGCTTGTTATTATTATATTTTTTTAATATTGTGCCACTTGTATATTTTTTTACCTGCATAATACTTCATCTCTTATTGCAGCAGTATCTATTTTTCTATTTTCCTTTTTTTATTCGGACTCTATTATAAGCACTTTTGCCCATATCTAACATGGGGCTATAATGAACTTGCCCTTACTTCAATGACCAGAATTTATGTAATCATGTCACGTGACAGGAAATGGTGACGTGCATTTGCCATGCAGGAAGTAAGAAGATACACAGCTGGGATAGTTTGGAGACTGATTAAGAAGGGTATTTAAAATCACAGAGAAGAGAACACCACAGCACTGAGGAAGACTCCAGCTGGAGTTGAAACGTGTTTTCTGCTAGACCAAAGTATTGTATCTGGGACTTTTTCTTATTTACTCTGCCGTGTTTTATTTAGGCTTTGTGCCTAGTATATTTTACTATTTATACACTACTTATTGTCCCTGTTTTAATTGTTTATTTGTTCAATAAATATTGGATTCTGCACTTTGTATCCTGTGCTGCTCTCCTCAAGGATATCGTTTTAGCCTGTTTAGGCACCCCCCTGCATATTATATAGAGCCTTGGACAGCTCTAAATCCTGTGAGTTTTACTCTACATAAGGGGTCTAGTTATTTGTGTTTTTTAGATTGATCACGAATTGTCATTTCGTTTACTGGTGCAGTATTTATTCTACTGTTTTATGATATATCCATATCCAGCCAGCCCTTTGTCTTAATTAGGTATCCCAGCTACCTTTCTGAGGTAGTTGTGGTACAAACTCAAGGCCTGTGAAACGGATCCCTGCCAATGAGTTGTCATGATGTATTCGAAGGTGTCTAGAGACTGGCTTCTTGACGTATGTTTCTTGACATAATTGACATGCTCACGGATCCGCAATTTGAAAGGGCGAAAGGTCTTTCCCACATATTTAAGTCCACAGGAGCAGGTAAGTAGATAGACTACGCCTGCCGACCTGCAGTTAAAAAAGGGCATGGTTTAAAGTTTTCCGTATTGGTGAGGTTAGAAAATAGCTTAGACTTCCTATTAATAAAGGGACACACGCTGCAGTGTCCACATTGGAATGTACCTATTGGTAGGTACAGTTGCACTCCCACATACAGTCAGCAATTGCCTGTGATCTAATTAGGCTAGCTAACGGAATAACCTAATTATCCACAGGCAGAAAATATCCAGTTTTACCCAAAGAACAGAAACACCCCAAAACACAAACATATCCCCACAGATTCTATATCCCTGGATAGCTCTGATCTGGGCAAACAACATATCCAAAAATCACCCAGATCAGAGCAGGGGTTCAAAAGTTTTGTGGAAGTCATATTTCCCCGACCGCAAGCATGGCTTTCATGCCCAAAATAGTTACACAGATTTTGGCTGTGTGGCCGGTCTTTTTCCAGTAGTTCAAATACTAAGCTCCGTTCGAATGCATGAATGGGCCGTTCGTGTAAATACTCAAAGTTAAAGTGGCGTTCGAATTGTCAAACGTACTTCGATTTCCGTCGAAGTGTTGAAGTCTGAGGAAGGTAAAGCTCAGCGTGGACCCTCATGCCGGGACAAAAATCTCCGCGACCTTCTTGCCCCAAGTTATTTACAATTTAGACACCCTTCCCCCAAAAGCTGGCTTCATAATCCTATCATCTGCACTTTCGGATGTGGCAGATGTGTCTCGTGTAAATTTATTAAGAAGGGTTCAAAGAAAGTATGGGATAGTGACGATATCAGGGAATTTAAAATAGTTTCGTTTTTCAACTGTAATACAGCACTGTTGATGCGGTTAGTCTATACCTTCTAACGACATTTTACAGCTGACATAATAGTCTCTAACAGTCAGCTAGCAGTCCTGCAGCGAACAGGATCTGTGTTTATAGTACAGCAACAAGTGTCTTAATTGGGAAATTGCATCTATTTCTTGCTTCCCAGATACTTTGTTACTTGATTGTGCTATATCAAAATAATATCAGAGGCCTCACTATAGCAATGACTTTATGCCTTCTAACGAGATTATGTTAAGCCACAAAACAACTGCCGGAATAAATAGGAGGTCGATTTATAGTCCCTCTACCCTCTATATGTAGGTTGAATCTAGTATCTTACTGGGGAATTGCATGTCTTTCCTATCTAATAGGGCAATTACTTGTTCTTTTATCGCATCTATTTAGAACTTTCACCTGTTATTCCCAGATACTACCCTACAAAGCCTTTTAGACTTTAGGGGCACATAAGGGACATAGTGTTTTGATTTACCTCCTGTCTACTATACTCTTTTTGGTATAGTTACTCATTCATAGCCTCTGTTTCATACTTAAGGGAAACTACTCTTTGTTCCATATACTAATTGATTTATTCAGCTATCCACTCTCATCTATATATACTCTGGATAGCGTTTATACTATTATATCTTTTGAGTAGAGATTCTTTCAGGTCTATCTGACTCTCAACATATCTTATACGATGCACTTTTAGTCTCAATAGATATACATATATACGTTAATTACCCTATTGCAAATGCATATTCATATATTTTTAACGTATATATTTTGTATACGCATATTTTCTTCAACAAAATAGTCAGTTTATGGATCCATTATAGTAAGCTCCGTTGGATCCCTCTCTTTTTTAAAGCAATTATACACTCTGCACTGGTTTGTTCACTAAATTCTGCTTTCTTCACATTAGTTTTTAATGTCAGATGACGTAATAAAGGTTTTTTTCTTTTCTAGTTGCTATTTGCCTATTTTTTTTTTTTTAGTTCTTTACTTTTGGGTAAAATCTGTGGCTGTGCATTGCAATTAGGCACCTGAAGGAAACTTTGGGCCCTTCTTTCCATCGCACAGATACACAGAAATTCATTTCTCAAAGATCAGTGGTGTTCATGCTGTCACGTATCCGATTTGATTTCCATGAAGTCGACGACCAAACACAGTTGAACGCGTTTGACTGAATTAAAATGGCCACCGCCACGTGTTCGTATGTCGAATGGCAGCCACTTTGACTACTTCGGCTTTATCCGAAGTGCCACTTCGAAAGTGCAGATCCTTTCCCATAGGATTGAAAGGGCCAGAAACAGTGTTTTAAAAGCCAATAAGCCCAAATAGTGTTTTAATATGGCAATACCTCCCAGGGGCCATAGTCACAGGGCAAGAAGCTGGCAAGCAGGCCTCTCCAAAAGCCAGTGGCAAAGGGCAGTTCACCACAGATCTTTCCTTTTGGGGGGAGACTTCCTTCTGTCGGTCAGTGCCTGAGTTAGTCGAGCAACCCACCCACAATGAACAATTAAAAGAGTAGCCCACCCACAATAAATGGTTACTGCACCTGGTGATTCCTGGTGTACAGTACTGGCCTGTAGGTCCCAGGTTGTGGAGGGAGAGTTCAGCACTCTCGATCTCACTGGTGCAGCTATGTAAAAAACTGTGGGTACTTGGGGGGCAGAGTAGCCAGGCCCTGCACAAAGGCAAAGAGGAAGGCAGAGGCCAACTGCGCTCTGCCCAGATGCCATCTCTTCTGCTGGGGTAGCCTGCAGGACGTCAGGCTCTTGACAAGGGGAAGGAGGAGGGCAGAGGCTAACTGCGCTCTGCCTAGATGCCAGCTCTTCTGCTGGGAGGACTGGGGCATAGTCCTGCAAGGTAACAAGGGGAAGGTTGGGGCAGAGGCCAGCGGCACCCTGCCCTGTTGCCAGCTCTTCTGCTGGGAGGGGGTCAGTGGAGGATAACATCTCCTCCACTAAACCCAGTACCGGGATAGGAGTTGGCTGTAGAGGGGATGGGCTGCTTACCTCCTCCTCTTGGTACTCCTGCTGCCGCTGGGGAGAGAGACCAGTTGTCTCTTCTCCTTGGAAAGTACACTGCCGCTGGGGAGGGAGACTGGTTGCCTCCTCTCCCTGTGAGATGTACTGCAGCTCGGGATCTAGGCCGACTGCCCAGCATCCCTGCAGGGCCGGTGGAGAGACCTCAGCCGCATCTCCACCTGCCAGTTGGGGTTCCTCACAGGACCAGTCTATAAGGTCGCTCACCGCTGGGGCTGGTTGGGCGGACGAGGGTACGGTGTCCAGGCAATCCTCTGGGTTGAGGGACTGTGGTGGAGCTAACTTGAGCAGTTGATGGTACTCCTGTTCCAGCTCCCATTCGATCATAACCAGGTGGGTGAAGTCTGGTTCCAGGTCAGTAGCATCAGGGAGCTCCAGTGCCTCCGATCGCCATTCCCTGATGTCCCAATACCGGAACTCCTTGGGGCTGCCAAAGTCATAGTCCTCCTCCAATGACTCCCATAGCAGACCAGGGCCCTCATAGTCACTGTCCTCTGCCCTGTCATCCTCAGCCAGCCAGGGTCACCTCTTGATCGCTTACCACCGTAGTGCCCGGTAGGCCCCATCCAGCCACAGTTCTTTCCTAACCAACCGCTGAAGTTCCAGGACCACTTCTCCCATGGGTAGACACGCCAGGAAGTGAGTCCTCAGCGCCGCTTGTTTCTGACTGCGCTGTTCTGCTTGGGAGGCACTCTCCCCATGATCCTTGTGCCCACTCCAAGGCCTCTTGCCAGAGCTCTTGCCGTATCCCATCTCTCCAAGCCAGCTCCTCCTCGGCTGAAATAGGGCCACACTCCTGAGACAAGGCATTTTGTAGTCTTCAGAGGAACTCTTCCTCATAGGGTGACGCTGCCCGGGGGCTAGCTTGCTCCATCCCCTTGAGTTCCTCTGAATCCAGGGGCACTGCACAAGGGCTAGCGTTGCCCTTAGTTATAGATCCATAACGTTACCAGTGTATCTAGGATGCTGCTCCTCACACTAGGACGCCATCCCACTGCTGCCATCAAACGTGATGGACCATCTGCCAATTGATGTTACTAGCACTTCTCAAGGACCATCAGCACCGCACCCGACACCATAAGCACCACAGACTCAACGAACCGCCGTAGCTTGGTTAGGATCTCGCTGTCTCCTTCCTACCCTGGGACTCCAACCTCTGGATCCAGGAGCGTGTGGGAAGGATCTCTCCTCCAAGAGAGTATAGCTGGGTCTCTCCTCCAAGAGAGTATAGCTGGGTCTCTTCTCCAAGCTGAAGAGAGCTCTTACAAGAGCTAGCAGGGATCCAGGGGAGTATACAGAGTATAGCAGCCCCCAGTGTGATATAGCAGTACCCTACAACACGAGACAAGGCTGCGAGTTGAGGGTAAGAAGGTCTGGTTTATTGAGTGCAAAGGCATTTCTTTTACACACATTTTCAGGCCAGAGGCACACCCCCTGGACCTGATGGTAAACTGAGACAAAAGGACACAAAACAATAGAAACAATAATTGGTACAGTAACACTAATGGAATAACCTAATTATCCACAAGCAGAAAATATCCAGTTTTACCCAAAGAACAGAAACACCCCAAAACACAAACATATCCCCACAAATTATATATACCTGGATAGCTCTGATCTGGGCAAACAACATATTAAAAAATCACCCAGATCAGAGCAGGGGTTCAAAAGTTTTGTGGAGGTCATATTTTACCGACCGCAAGCATGGCTTTCATGCCCAAAATAGTTCCACAGATTTTGGCTGTGCGGCCGGTCTATTTCCAATAGTTCAAATACTAAGTTCAGTTCGAATGCATGAACGGGGCCATTCATGTAAATACTCAAAGTTAAAGTGGCGTTCGAATTGTGAAACGCACTTCGATTTCCGTCGA